GAATTTCTAACTATAGCGCAAGCCTAGCTTCTGTAACACCCTAGCTCGGCCAAGCACTACTTTTACTAAAATGCACTTGAAAATTAAAACACTTAAAGCTTAAAGTGCAGCAGGAAAAATTTCATAAATAAAATACTGAAAACACACTCTTTTAGTTTAAAGCAATGCCCTAGCAAGTGGGCCAATTAAACTCAAACTTTAAAATCTCAACCTGATCTCCAGTCTATACTCATAATCATAAAGTATGTTAACTAATTAATCTCAAACGCTGCTGCTGACTGATAACCTTGACTAGACATCCTCTATGATGCTCGTAGCGTACTCCTCCAGCTAGCTCCCCTCGAACCGTTTCTCTCGAACTCGCTGCTCTCTAACTGCTTCTCTAATTAGCTGTTATCGTGCTGGTTCTCGCTCATTCCTTTTAAGTCCTGGTGAGTGAGATGGGGTCAGTCTACGCCCTTACGTTTTAAAACCTCTTGACATTTGAGTATTTTACTTAAACACTTAACTTTAATTGGTGGGAGTTGTTATTATTTACACCCTTTAAACTCTACTTTAAGTACGTGGGAGTTCGAGTTACTCGCCACCCTCAAAAACTTAACTTATAACTCTTTCTTAAGTACCTTACAACCTTTATTTTATAACGGGGCCCCTACCTCGACTTTAGCTGGCGCCACTATTAGCCTTACTTAACCATGGCTACCCTCACAATCTGAGTTTTGACTATCGCGTTACGTATCGCCGTCCATTGTCAAAACTAACGTATGTTAACTGCGTTACGTATCGTCGTCCGGTTACATACCTAAAACTTGAAAATGGAAACTGCATTACGTATTGCCGTCCAGTAGTGACCCAAAATACACGATCAACTGCTGCGGTACGTATCGCTGTCAAGCAGTGATCTGATCAGCTACCGCGTCCAGTAGTGATCCCTCGTGAATGTGGCTAGCTAAGCGAGGTTACTTATCTTGTTCTTACTTAATACTTTTCTCTGCTCTTTTCACCTTAATTTCGTTAACGGTGAAGTACTACTGAAACTTGTTCTTATAAAACACAACATTTTGATAAAAGACAGAAACTAAACTGCTAGAAAAGTAAATATATAAACGTAAGTAAGAACCTAAGCATGCATTATCAAGCGCAAACATAATCAAACACTAGCATATATATATACATCACGTAAAACACATATTTAAAGCTCGTAAGGCGTAAAATTTACCCCCTTTACACTCACTTTGAGAAGAAGAATCTGCTTAGACTCTGAAAATTCCAAATCCCTCCTATAATATTTTCCTCGCTTTCACGATTCCATAGGCGCAGACGGTTCCTCGATCGGACGTCAATTGATCGAGTTATGGCCAAAATAAATATTCCGTCAGCTCTCCAAATACCAAGCACCGATTTCGTAATTTTCCAGTCAACATCATTGACTCTGACCTCTTCGAAACATTACAATAGTGTTCCATAAACTTTTTGAATTGCCACGAATAGTACCTGAACTTGACCAATTTTTACTCCAAACTTCCGATGCTCATTTCCCCCTCGTCTGACGTTGGAATTCGATTCCGTCGAAATGGTGATGATCCTAGGGTCTTCGTCCTTGCATTCATACCCACCAATCAAAGAATAGTTGAAGTTTATTTTTCTGGTTTTTCCGGCAATGTACGATGGAGTCCCGTCGAAACTTCGACGAGGCTCTTGGTGGGACTGGGTCGGTGTCGGATGGGGATAGATCGACGACAATGATTTCTGGCCGTGTGGCGTCGAGGGTTAGTGATGCTCCAAAACACAACACCTAACAACGGCCAAGTGTAACCAATGAAAGGGACTGCAGTATAGTGGCACAAGTAATAAATATCGAATCCACGGGTCTCTAGAGTTACTATTACTCAGCTTCAGTTCATTATCTAGCAAACTAGATTAAGGATTGATTAACTAAACTACTCTACTAACTAAACTAAGTAAAACTACTAATTACAGTTTGGGAACTCACTTAGGTATGATTCCCCCTAGCTCCTCAATTAGGTCCAAGTTGTAATTCATTTTGGTTGATTTACTGTTGATTAAACTGCGGAAGATCCGACAGTAGCTTGGAATCTCTTAAGCCGACCAAGCCCTCTCAGTCTAACTATCCGGCAGACGACTAGTCTTCACCGGGATAGAAAGCTGAAGCAATAAGCACAGAACTTCACTACTGGAATTGGATTCCAGTACAAAGCAGTAAACTGGCTAACTCTCGTATAGCCAATCTCCTACTACCGAACGATGAGACTCTAGCAACCTAATCAGATTCTATCTATCTCAGATTGCAGCAGGAATCAGGAAAAGTTGATCAGACTTCAATTGACTCAATAAACATGCATCATTCGATTATAATCAAACAATATAGCATCCAAAACTTCATACAAGAAAGATCCTAACTCATGGAACTAGGGTTCCTCAAAACCTAAGTGAAGGGAAGTTACTCCATAGAGAAGAGAGAGACTGCAGAAATCTGATCTAGATCTTCAATCTCCATCTCCAAGCTTGATTCCCGAGCTCCAATGGCGAAGAAATCCTCCAAAATAGCTCCAAGAATGTTCCCAAGTCGCTCTCTCTCTCTAGGGTTCGTCCCTTGGGTGTTTGGGATCCAAAACCCAGCTCTCCCTCTCCTTTGGCTCGAATTTGGGTTAAAAACAGCCATTCCCGACTCGCACGGCCAGGGTGCACGGCCGTGCACATCACCATTCTGGCCGTGCACCTCAAAACGCGGCGTATCAATTAGTTGAACCTCAGCCAACTCGCACGGCCAGAATTGTATGTTGCACGGCCGTGCGTGGCCACGCACAATCCCGTGCGTGCCCACGCACAATCCCGCACGGCCAAACTGGTCACTTGCACGGCCGTGCGTGGCCACGCTGGTCTGCCCGTGCAGCTTGCTCAGCCTCTGTTTAATGCTTCGTTTCTCCCTCGTCCGGACTCCGAATCAATCGCCGTTTGATCCCAGACGCTCGTAGTCTCGTCCTCTTTCGTTTCATAACAAGCTTGCATGATGCTTTGTCCATAAAGTGAGGTAGAAATCCATTCTTCTTCAGGTCATGCCCGAGTTTCTTCTCTTGAATCGTCAATTGATCTCTGATTGACTTGAAACTTGCGCCTATGCTTCACTTTATGTGCTAGGACCTGAAATGGGACAAAGGAACACAACCTAGCATAAAATAGGCCAAAGACGCAATAATTCAGGCTCAAAAAATCAAGAAACAAAGGGGAAAACATGTGCAAATACCGAGTCATCAGTTAGCCCATGTAAGACTGCCTTGGTTCACGTCGGCCGCAGTTGTCAAACCTTTCGGGCCCTTTCCTCGTCCGTCGATCATCACCCGCCATCCTTTACCTCCCGTTTGTGCTGGTTCCATCGCTGGCGAGCTTAGGGTGGGAAACAAAATCTGTGTTGCTGCTTCTGTCTCCGGCTGGTGAGATCGCATGAGGGTCGATGTGCGAGGGACGACGAGATGGGGCTTTTCCTTTCACTTCTCCCTGTCTCTCTACTTCTCTCGGTTACAAGAGAAGGGAATTAAAAGGGTAAGTGGGTTTAAACTAAAGGTGTCAAAACATGACCCGACCCGAGTAACCCGCCCAACCAACCCAATCCGCGACCCGCCCGCAACCCGATTAGACTAAAAGTCAAAGACCGGCAACCCGCCCGACCCGTAACCCGCTTGACCCGCAACCCGCTTAACCCGCAACCCGCTTGACCCGCAACCCGCTTGACCCGAACCCGATTGACCCGCAACCCGCTTGACCTGCAACCCGCTTGACCCGCAACCCGGTTGACCCGTAACCCGACTAACCCGAACCCGATTAACCCGAACCCGCCCGATTGGCACGAATAATACTACATAATATATTTTTGTGCATAAATATTATATGTAGATAATATATATATAAAGTTTATGTGACTTGCCCTATTATTTTTTCATCTTTCCCACCAAGAACAAAGGTTTACTTTGTGTTGACAAATAAAAACTGTCATTTAATTGAATCACATAATAGTCTCACTGTCTCGGTAGATAAGTAGAAATCCTAGGAGGGTTGTCAACATTTTTTACATTTAGTTGATGTATATAAATAATATATATAGATAACACATACATATGAAAAACATGATTGGCTTAATTAAGCCAATCATATATCAGTACCTAATAATTACAACATTTTTTCTTCCACACATAATATAACTGGTCACATAACATTGTCAAAATATTAACCTAGAATACGAAGATTCATAATAGTACATAACTCATAACTCATACTCTAGCCCCAATAATAAGAAGATTTATAAAAGTTACGTATAAAATACTTACGGGTATTATACTAACATTCTTCACATATCATACGTTATAATTTATACTTTATACCAACAATTTCATAACACATAACTATATTTCATGGTTTAAGGTTAGTGTATAGGGTATACGGTAGTGGACTCGTGGTTTAGAGTTTGGAGTCATAAGACGTATGTTCTTCTCAATAACCGAATATAAAATTAACTCAACTTACATTCTTCACATAACATACGTTATAGCTTATACTAACAATTTCATAACATATAACTATAGTATAGGGTATAGGGTTAGGGTCTAGGGTTTATTCATGGTTATGATTTATGTTGGATATTTTGATTTTTATAGTTTATTAATTAATTTGATTTTAACAATTAGTTTAACTTGTGAATGTACATCTTAAATATATCATATTCAAATGACATTCCGACCAACGAATCGGACAACAAACTAGTTAATCGGTATAAAATTTATCATCTATAATAATAAATATCAAAGAAAGGAAGAACTAGATGTTTATGGAAATTTTTTGAATGCAAAATTCAAAACCCTCAAATATTTGCTCAAAATTCCCTTGCAAACCCATTTTTTTTAAAAAAATCCCTCCCATAAACCCCCTTCCCCCAATATTTGATCCAAAATTGAAATTCCCTCCCATCCCAAAATTGAAAATTCCCTCCCACCTCCCCCAATATTTGATCCAAAATTGAAATTCCCTCCCATCCCAAAATTGAAAATTCCCTCCCACCTCCCCCAATATTTTAATCAAGTGAGAAGGGAAATCTCTATCTCCGCCACCAGACTGTCTCCAGTGGTTCTGTCCCCTCTGCTCCCTTGCCGTCTTCGTCGCCTCTAGGTTAGAAAGGACTGAAGACAGTCGAATCCCTGCTTCCTTTCTTCTGCTCTCGGCATATAGGTATTTTATATGCACAATTTCAATATAGTAATTGTGTGGTTTGTATATTGCAAATATTTAAGTAGTTAGTTAATATCATATATGTTATATTCCTTACAAATTATGTGAGATATACTAATTTAATATTATCGATTGAGGATAAGGCTAACTGTATAGGATATATGTTATTCAGTAAGTTATGATTGAAGTCACAATAATTTTACTAAATTTGATAGTTAATCTTTAGGACAATTCGAACAATTTTACAAATAACTCGTTTGGCAATAGTTTACTGAAGTTATTTGGGCAATGAGTTATTTCGAAATAACTCCTTTTATCACTATGCTTTTGCCAAATACCACAAACCAAATACCATATTTGCATGGTTATACTAAACAAGATACTTTAATCCAATTACTACTGAAATAATACTAAAATATCAAATAAATAATTAATGGTGTCTTTTGGTTGCAAATATTGATATCACCATTACTATTAGCTAGTGTACTTTACCAATTATGATTAATTACATAACAAGTTTGCAAGTCATACAAATTGATTTAACATTTTGACTAGTTTTTTTTAAATTAAGTATATATATACGACGTAGAATAAATTGGTTAAAAAGTTGAGAAAAATATTTTAAATTAGTGTAATAAAATGTGTAAGTTTGAGACGAGTAATGAGTAAGTTACTCGATGCGCTGGCCCGAACAACCCGAAACCCGATCCGCCCGCAACCCGCCCGACCCAAAACCCGATGAACCCGCAACCCGATTGAACCCGAACCCGATGAACCCGCTACCCGAATAACCCGCAACCCATTTGAACCCGAACCCGATGAACCCGAACCCGAAGAACCTGCAACCCGACTAACCCGCAACCCGTTTGAACCCGAACCCGATTGAACCCAGCCCGAACCCGCCCGATTGACACCTATAGTTTAAACTGTCGCTACTGCTTCTCTCGTTCAACTCTCGACTTTATGATGGGGAAAAATAAAAGGGTAGGCGTGGGCGAACATATAACGGGTTTGGGAAGAATTTAAGGTGATTAATTGAGTGGTCGTTTGGGAGAGAGTGGTGCTGGCCTGCTGGGGGTATATGGGCTTTGATATAAATATATATTTTTTTGTTTACATTATTTGTTGCTGGAGACGTGTAGATGATGATGACATTAATAATAAAGGGTTTGTAAAGGGTTCATTTGGGATCGGTTAGCTTGACTACCCCTAAAGGGGTAGTGATTTTTGACACTCCCTTTATGATTGGCCAATTTTATTTCCAATCATTGGCAAGTATTAATTAAACTGGTTTTTTATTTTTTTTAATCTTGTAATTTGGGGTCTCTCACCACATTGGAAAAGAGAAAGAATCTGGGGAAAAACGAAATCACCCCCATTAATTACATAATTAATTTCTCTCACTGGTACATTAATTACACGTACCACTCCACTGGTACACGTACCACTCCACTGGTACACGTACCACTCCACTGGTACACGTACCACTCCACTGGTGCGAGCAATCCACAAGGTAGGTTAGAGTGAGAACAATACCAGTGCAATGATATTTTTCATAACAATGATAAACAATAACGGAGCAACAATGCAGTACCACTTCAATGATACAAATACCACTCCACTGGTACACGTACCACTCCACTGGTACACGTATCACTCCACTGGTGCGAGCAATCCACAAGGTAGGTCAGAGGCGATCCCAGGATGGCGGCAGCTGGAGATAGGAGGATGGTGGTGGGGGAAGGCGCTGGAGGGTTTTGGTCGTTTCAGAGTAGAGGAGGGTTCTGGTTAAAATGAAATCAAAATGGAAAGAGGGCCCAAATGGAGAGAGAAGGAGACGAAAGGAAGAAAAAAGGCAATTAATTGCACATTTGGGGGGGGGGGGGGAGCTTTTTTCTGATTCCCCATATTCTTTCCCTTTCCAATGTGGGTGAGAGACCCCAAATTACAAGATTAAAAAAAAAAAAAAAACTAGTTTAATTAATACTTGCCAATGATTGAAAATAAAATTGGCCAATCATAAAGGGGGTGTTGAAAATCACTACCCCTTTAGGGGTTAGCATAGTATCCCACCCCGGTTCATTTTGATACGGAGGAACAGATTGGTTGTGGTGATGTAGTATAATAATAATAACAATAAATATTAATGTATTATTATTCTTATTTCTAATCTACGATTGTAACCCTTCGTACGTAACCATCGATCCAATCATTCGATTGAACCAAGACCCAAATGTCGGTGTGTTACATTTCCTCCACCCTTGTAAAATTTCATTCTCGAAATTTGCTCGAAACTCGTCTTTCCTGTAATAGCCTTCTTGTACTTCCTTCGCTGGAAAATTTAACCTCACTATGCAAACTCCAATGGTGTCCTTATTCACCACGTGTGGTTCACTGTACATCTCATATTTCTTTTTTACCATCACTAGTATCCCCACCTCGTTTTGTAGCATCGTGCAACTTTGGGTGACTCATTGCCCTTAAATTTTGCAGCTTGGCCTGGTCGTATGATGAAACAAAATTGTGAGTCGGTTTGACTTGTTGGTCCAACTCACTAGGTAGTTGTTTTTGGACCTAAAAAAAATCAAGGTATCACATTTCCTCCCTCCTTAAGAAAAATTTCGACCTCGAAATTTGTTCATCGTGATAACCCAAAGTCTCACTTGAGGTAATCCTTCTACTACAGGGATTTATACTTCCTTTACTTTGTACGACCTTGAGCTATGAATCCTTCCCTCCAATTCGTTTGGTTCTTGGTCGAAAGACACCCAATTCTCCTAAACTACTTACTCCGCTAGCGGCTTACTCAAAGCGACTATGTACTTGTGACATCTCCCTTCTTCAACGCCTTTGATGTTGTGACGACTTCTTAGCTTATATTGTTCTCAATGGGTTGTCTTGGGTTTCTATTTAGGATTACATGAGAACATTAGGAAAATAACTTCTTAGTCAACCCTATTTAGGTCATGACTCGTCGTAACTTCAGCTCATTAAGCATCCGGACCTTGAACTACGTCCTCCCTATCTTGACTGCTGACAACTGTCCACAAATTCCCTGACATAAATGTCCGTAGAGAATGTTTGAATTGTTTAATGACTGCCTCCAATGCTGGTTCCTAGGTATCGCTTCCTCTCCCTTTATAAACCTTGTTATTCTCCTCTTTTATAATTCCATTTGATACTCATACTTGATGCATGATTCACCATAAATGGTGCCTTTATCATAAGTCAAACCCTCATACATTCCTATGGATATCCTTAACACCCCTTCGAACCCTAAGGTTACTAATGGCGGCCTATACCCTTCTTTGTAAGGTCGAAAACCCATTTAACGTAACTCCCAGTTGTGAGCGAACACGCAGATCCCCTAGGTCTTTGTACCTCCTAGCTCTGTATCTCTTAATTTTGTTCCCCAATAATCCATTTTAGCCTTTAATCTTTTACTTCATAATCATCTCATTGTTACCTACGGCTTAGCGCTGAAACCCTCATACCACTGCGTTTACTCTGTATAAGCATTAGAGGCATCCCTTGCGTCTTTCTCTAGCTTGCGATCAACTTTATAAATCCTTTCCAGAATCACGACCCTCCATTTTGCGTAATTGTTCACTCCTGGCGCCTAACTTAACACTTCCTTATCACCTTTTGACTTGGGAGTTCTCTTACTATCTCTTCTATCGTTCCTAGACCTCGGCTGAAATTCCTCGTACAGTTTCCCCGTCTGAGAAATTTACACTCGAGAGATCTTCACCTTCCACCCTCATAGGCGGTCATGATTTCACTTTGGGGTATCCTACCTGGTTCCCTAAACTCATATCCATCTTACGTCTTTACTCGGGGCACCTCTCTGCTTGTGTTTGGAGTTGAAGTCCTCGCACTTTTGATTCTACCCCCACAGACCTTTGCAACGTTCCTCCTTCCTTCTCAAGGTTGATGATGATTATCTGTTTGATAACGTCCGAGTAGTTGGTTAACTAATTCAAAAACTATTATCCATCATGTCGACGAGATACTTGATCTTGAGAGCCTTTGAGATTCTACTTGGGTTGTTCACGTTTCTTGTATCCTTTCTTTCTTACTGACGATCGCCATATGCCTAAATCTCTCATTTGACAAACCATGACGAGTTAACTAAATCGACACCTAGCTTATTCTTAAACCAATCACACACTCGAGCTACCATTCCGTCATGTCGTACCTTTATAGCTATTCACCTTATTATGATTAGAGTAGACTGGAGATTCCGTAAACTCTTAAAAGAAAACCCTTGACTCATTTTTCTTTTCATTTAAACACAAAAGCTTTTAAAACTAAGACCGATATTCCAGTATTCCTTGGAGGCCAAGGAACTGAGGAAGACCGGCTCTGATACCAAAATGTAACACCCTAGCTCGGCCGAGCACTACTTTTACTAAAATGTCCTTGAAAATTAAAACACTTAAAGCTTAAAGTGCAGCAAGAAAAATTTCATAAATAAAATACCAAAAACACACTCTTGTAGTTTAAAGCAATGCCCTAACAAGTGGACAAATTAAACTCAAACTTTAAAATCTCAACATGATCTCCAGTCTATACTCATAATCATAAAGTATATTAACTAATTAATCTCAAACGCTGCTGCTGACTGATAACCTTGACTAGACATCCTCCGTGATGCTCGTACCGTCCTCCTCCAGCTAGCTCCCCTCGAACCGTTTCTCTCGAACTCGCTGCTCTCTAACTGCTTCTCTAATTAGCTGCTATCGTGCTGGTTCTCGCTCATACCTTTTAACCCCTAGTGAGTGAGATGGGGTCAGGCTACGCCCTTACGTTTTAAAACCTCTTGATACTTGAGTATTTTACTTAAACACTTAACTTTAACTGGTGGAAGTTGTTATTATTTACACCCTTTAAACTCTACTTTAAGTACGTGGGAGTTTGAGTTACTCGCCACCCTCAAAAACTTACTTGACGTATAACTCTTTCTTAAGTACCTTACAACCTTTATTTTATAACGGGGCCCCTACCTCAACTTTAGTTGGCGCCACTACTAGCCTTACTTAACCATGGCTACCCTCACAATGGTGTGCCCCTTAATCTGCGTTTTGACTACCGCGTTACGTATCGCTGTCCGGTTGCATACCTAAAACTTGTGAATGGAAACTACGTTACCTATCGCCGTCCAGTTCCATGCCCGACCAACTACTGCGTTACGTATCGCCGTCCAGTAGTTACCCAAAATACACGATCAACTTTTGCGTTACGTATCACTGTCCAGCAGTGATCCGATCAGCTACCGCGTCTAGATGTGATCCCTCGTGAACGTGGCTAGTTAAGCGAGGTTACTTATCTTGTTCTTACTTAATACTTTTCTCTGCTCTTTTCACCTTAACTTCATTAACGGTGAAGTACTACTGAAACTTGTTCTTATAAAACACAGCATTTTGATAAAAGACAGAAACTAAACTGCTAGAAAAGTAAATATAGAAACGCAAGTAATAACCTAAAATAAAATCTCAAAGGGAAGCATGCATTATCAAGCACAAACATAATAAAACACTATATATATATATGGGTTACACTCGTATGTACCTGACACATACTATGTATCAGTTTTTCTATACCGTTGATCTAATCTAACAGTGTTTATTAATTGTAATTAAATTATTTAGTATTTATAATTTTAAAATGATTAGTTGGTCCTATTACTTTTTTATACGTACCCTTTAACCCCTAACAAAATTTTCACATATTTTAGTATTACGGTACCAAAATTTATTCTAATCATGTCTTCAATCTATCAAGCTACGTTTACTTTCAATTTTAGTTGGGTGATCTATTACTTTCGCCACTCTTCTCAACGCCCAAAACCCCCTCTCCTCTCATCTGACTATCGTTTGAAGCAATTGGACTTTGCGCTTCCCATCGCTGTTTAATCCCTCTATGGATTATGGGAGTGGTCTGTTCGAGGATTGGCGGATTGAATCGTGTGCTCGAGAGGCGGATGAGGAAGGGATGATCAGAGAATTGACCTCATCGTCCCCAAACGAAATTGATGAGGATGGCGACAAGGGGCACCAGATGATTTCATCATGTTATGAGATCCGTGACTGGAAGATGAAGTGAAAAGTGTAGACTCGAGAGCTAGGGGAAGTGCCGATCACCGAAGATACGTACTCCAAGTGTTTGAAGACAAAATCGATTGAGATAGCGGTGGGGAGGTACCGGGTACACTGCCTTTGATGGCCGACGGGAAGTGCGAACACCAACAGCAGTAGCCAGAGTGGAGGAACGAGACTGATGACATAAGTGATGGGATCCAGATGCCGAATGAGTGCAATCGCAATTAGCAGTGGCGACGGCGGTGGCCAATTCTACCGACCTTTCAGAAGATCGCCCCCATCAGATATCATTCGATAAAACTAGTGGCTTTGAGAAAGATATGAATAACTTAGTCGACATGTGGTCTAAATTGAATCCCATGGCGCGAGAGTTTGTACCTCCTCTCGCCGCTAACAACCACCTGGTTAATCGGATCGGCGATACTCACAATTTTGGGATGTTCAGTGATTTCTTTAATGGAAATGGACATTCTGAGAAAAGGGTATGTCCTTAAGTTTCCTTCTTGCTTCTGCATTTTGGTATTTGATGTTTTGAACATTAAAATTGGCTGAGAAGGGAACCCATAGGTGGAAGAATGATTCTTGATTCAAGTAAAATTGATTGTGGTTTATGCTGTTTGGTTTACTTTGCGTGTTTGGTGTTCCAGGTAAAATCGAATTTACTGATGAAGGTATTGCCACAAACCATCTGTATTTGGTTACCGCTCAAGTTCCCATTTCCTGCAATTTTAGTTACGCTAGTTAGTGTCTTCCTGCGGAAGGTGCAATGTTTGCTTTGAGTTTGTCTGGGACAGTGCTTGACCCACTAAAAGTGTTGCATTCCAAAACTGCTATTGCACCTTTTAACCGTGGTCTTCAATTGAGTTCATTTTCCAGTCCAACTGATGGTTGCTATGATTCTCAGATGGTTGCTATGGTTCTCAATCTGAAGATGAACATGAGATGTGTGCTAGGACTGTGTACTGTAAAAATATAGACAAGAAGATAATATGGGAAGCTAACTGGCAGTTTTAATTTTCTTAAAAGGCTGTGGGAACATTTGTCATGGTTTTCTGTTTTCCTTCAAATGCAGGTTAACATAGGAGATGTTAGACTATTCTTTGAGTCCTTTTGTGGGGAGGTTTGTTTTGGGATTTCACAATTTGACGTCATTTATTTTTTGTATTTTGAGCTGTAGTTTGTGTAAATTTTCTTTGTCACGAAAGATTCTTTCAGCCAGCAAAAAAGGTTTGTGTTACATGGTTCAATAAAAACCAGAGGCCAAGAACCCGGAGAACTACTCAACTTCGATTTACAAAGGGTAATAAAGTAGACAGCCGCCCTTGTTGAAAAGGAAAAATTTTGGATCTAAGATTACTGGCTTGATGATAACACCGTTTTGTATTCCTGCTCGGTAATCGATATCATACCACTCGAATCAGGTTCCACTTCTTAGTCATCCATTTCTTCATGGGGAGGGAACTCGCGTTTTCTTGCAAGCACCCACTGGTCTATGACCGCAGTCTATTTCGTATCGGATCAAGCGTTTCAAGTAGCTTTCATCTGTAATAAGGTGTGGCTGAAGCTGAACTGACAACATTCTCAACATACCTAGAATCAGCAAAGAACAGATATAAGTCAACTTAGTGTGGCTGAAAAAGGATCCATGGAGAAACTTGAAACTGAAAGGTTATCTCATCCATGTACCTGCAACAACGCCATCTCCGGATGCAGACATGTCAGAGGTGAAAAAGGGTAGACTTTTCACTCTATACACATAGAATAATCTCGAAGAAAAGAATAATACGACCAAATAACTTCTGATAAGCAGCTGGCTTACTCTCACTCGACAAACATTCTGTCAAGATGATCCTTGCCCCTGTTATCTAAAGTACATATCAAGCTAATCGTTTTAAGTCTACGAGCAACTCGAATTCTTGAAGTAGGATGGATGAAAGATTAATTAGAGGTCATACTGCTTGGAGAAGGGAGTTGGATTTCTCCATGAAGATACTGCAGCCCTTCCGCCGCCCCAACTACTATGTTCAACCTCTACTTCCAGCTCAAAATCACCACCTTGCTAGTCTTTACCGAATAGGAACTGGTCGAGGGTCTTGTTGGGAACATACTCGTCGACCAGCAGGCTTTTAGGTCCTTCAATGCTGGAACTGAGCAGCTTAACAAGGTTATTTCAAGCAGGGGAGCTAAAAAGTGGAGTGGTTCTTCTTGTATTTGGAGATGGTCTTTAGTATATACCTTGGTTAGCTTTTACGTGTTTAAGATGGATAGCTTAAGCTGCAAAGAGAGAAAGCATGGCTAATGCTGCTTATGCTAAAGCAATCACCATTATCACTCCAGAGTTGAATTCCATGAAAATTCAAAACAGAGTCGAGCTTACTGTTTGGATTCTGCAAAATATCCTTCCTCCCTGCAAGCTTCTGAATAATCAACGGACCAATCATCTTCCTCTCCAGTCAAACACGTAATTTTCATAGTCCTTC